CTCCGACCTGGGCTGGCCATCCGTTCCCTCACTGGAGCCGGACTTGGCTTCGCTGTGTGGCGTCGAGGCCAAGAACCACCTTGTTGGACCGCGAGCAGTTCCCTCTTCTAAGCATGACCAGCTGCTGAGGCAGCTCGCCGATCGCGCACACCAGTGCGCCTTCCAGACCGGCGCTGCAGGAAATAACATCGCCTTCTCGCCTTTGGCGTTCCCAAAATGGTGGAGGAGGTTGACGCTCCTGTCGAGTCAGAAACCATCATTACTAAAACTGCTGATGCCATCCTCAATCTGTGCGTGGCTGTACTCACCGGTTCTGCTCGCATTGCTGCCTGGCAGACCCTTATCCAGCGGGCCTTGTGGCTCAAGGCCCTGCCCTCCATTCCTGAACACCTGCACAGGGAGATGCTGGAAGGCCCCATCACCTCTGACGTTCTGTTTGGTCCCCATCTTACGAGCGTCATCGAGAGGGCTCAGACGGCGGCTGAACTTTCAGCCACGGTGCGAGACCTGGTCCACTCTCGGTCAGCCTCGCACTCCGGCCGTTCCCCCAGAGGATGGGACGAACGGCGAGGAAACTCCAGGCGCCCAGCTGCATGGCCAGCCCCGCAGAGCCGGCCTCCCACTGAGGCGGGACCAGGGAGTTGGCGGCCAATGGTTCCGAATGAGTCAGCAGACACAGCCTTGGCAGTCTCAGTCACAGGAATCTCGCCGAAAACAACCACGAAAACGACTCGTTGGGGGAATGTGTGTGCTTATGACTAATGTTAACTCTGTGAATGATTTTGGTTTTGAAATAAAACCCAAAAAACGTCACATCGAGAGCACAGTCCTACAGTCCTCTGCAGAACCCTCTGCCGAATCCTCACACATGATGTTCCCCGCACCAAGCACTGCAGCACATCTGCATGTTCACACAGTCTGACTCGGTCATGTTACACGGCTTGCTGTAAGGGTGCGCTCCATTTGCGCAACGGCCCCAGCCTACGGCCAGGCCCGACTCATCCCGCTTCCCCCACAGCGTTGGGTGGGACGGGATGTCATGGTGCTGTCGCGACCACGCGCAAAGCGCGCACGTTGCGCGGCTCCATCCGCTGGCACTTTGTCGTTCCCATGCACGGGCCCGGCTCCCACTCGTCCTTCATCCTTGGACTCCACGCTCTGCGGTGCGGATCAGCCTCTTCCAGCTGTTTCACACTCGCCCTTTCGAGCACAGCCCTCCATGGGTCGCTCCCAGTTCTCTGGTACAAGCGACGGCGGTAAGGGCGCGAACCCAATCCTCACGTGACCTCGAGCACACGTCCGCTGTCGAAACGCGCGCACGAATGCCTCCCTTTCGGCTACTCGCTAGCGCAGCGCACTTTCTCCAAATGTCTGGAGACCGCGCTGCAGCCACTGCGCACGGCGGGAACGAGGGTTTTATTTTACCGGGACGATCTGCTCCGATGCGCCTGGTCCGAGGACGAGGCGTCAGAGCAAACCAGGAAATTAACAGAGCATCTGTCAACCCTGAGGTTTTCTAGAAACTGGGGGAAGAACTCCATCCTTCCATCCCAGTCGATTGTGTTTCTCGGGGTGGAGCTGAACGCCTCCCTAATGAGAGCACGTTTGTCGCCCGTGAGAGCGGCAGATCTCACCACGGTGATCTCCCGCATGCAACCCCGCAAGATCGTGAGAGCCCTGTTAGTCATGAGACTTCTGGACATGATGGCTGCAGCCCACTCGGCGGTGCTACTAGGGTTGTTGCGCTCGAGGCGCCTGCAACGCTCATCCGCCTCCGGGTACACCCGATACGTCAGAAGAGACGTATGTTGAGGGTTCCCCCCTCAGTGGGCGGGGGCCTCGCTCACTGGGGGAACCCCTGCATCCTCTCACACGGGGTCCCCATCGGAAGTCCTACGTCACACGTATCTGTGTTTACGGATGCATCACTGTCTGGGGTGGGGGGCACGTGCTTGTCCCATACGGCAGCAGATCGCTGGCCCTCCCACACGCACGAGCACATAAATGTGTTGGAGCTTATGACAGTGAGGAATGCGCTCAGACACTTTGCTGCCCTTCTCGATGGCCGTCATGCCGAAGTTCACACAGACAGCCAGGTGGCGACAGCCTACATAAATCGCCAAAGGGGAGTTCGATCCCTCCCACTATTGCGCGTAGCCACAGGTTTACTGTGTTGGGCACATGTCCACCTGCTGTGCCACCTACATTCTGGGGATCCTGAATGTAGCGGCAGACATCCTGTCGAGAGGGGTCCCCGCGACTCCGACTGGCGTCTGCATTCTGCACATCTGGATAAAGTTCGGGGAACTGTCTGTGGAGCTGTTCACGGCTCGCGAAAACGCTCAGTGTCGCCTGTGGTTTTCCCTGAGTCCCCGGGACCAACCCCGTTTGGGGCGGACGCCTTCTCACACCAGCCCTGGCCTCGAACGCTCCTGTATGCGTTTCCACCAGTCCCTCTGATTCCCCGTCTCCTGGACCGAGTTTGGTCAGAACAGCTCTCGGTAATTCTGGTGGCTCCCAGACGCCTGTCCGCGTCATGGTTTCCGGACCTGCAAGCGCTACTGTCCGGCTCCCCGTGGAGACTCCCACGAAGGGAGGACGCCCCTCCCCAGGCGGATGGGAAAATCAAACATCCTCCAGAAATAGGCCAACGGCTGTAAGTCTGGCCACTGAGCGGTCACGCTTAGGGGTTTGTTTCTGGGCTGCCGCATGATGTGGTCACCACGATTCAGAGTGCGCGGGTGCACCATCACATCTTATGCTGCTAAATGGGCAGCTTTCCAGAAATGGTGCACAGAGCGGAATTTTCAAGCGCTCTCCTGCCAGCTGGCGGATGTCCTATCGTTTCTACAGATACTGATGGACAGGGGCCTCGCATTCAGCACTATTAAAACATGCTGCAGCTATCTCATCCTGTCACCAGGATTTTGGTGATGGGTCTGTTTTCAGTCATCCCCTCACAAAACGTTTTCTAAAAGGTGTCAGAAGGAACAGGCCTGTGTCCCGCCCGCTAGTTCCCCAGTGGGATCTAACGGTGGTTCTGCGTGGCTTATTTGAAGCCCCATTTGAACCCTTGGACCAGGTCTCACTCAAGTTCCGGTCACAACTGCCTTGCTGCTGGCACTGGCATCAGTCAAGAGAGCGAGCGACCTAACTCGCCCTCTCAGTGGCTCCCGCATGCCTCAGGATCCGGGAAGATGGAGGGTCTGCTGTTTTATGCCCCAGCCTTTGTGCCCAAAAACATTAATACTTCCTTCAAATCCAGGTCAATTTTCATTGGCTGAACTTTTTCCTCCTCCCCATAATTCTGATGAGGAGGCGACTTCCCATCTTCTCTGCCCGGTGCGCGCGCTCGCACGATATGTGTCACGCACTTCAGGGATTCGCCGCTCACAAAGCATGTTTGTGCACTACAGGGAGTCTTCCCTTGGGCACGCGCTGTTGGCCCAGCGCCTTTGACTCTGGCTATGTGACGCCATTTCACGCTTACACATCAGCAGGGCAGGATCCCCCTGAGACACTCAGGGCTCACTCAGCCAGAGGGATTTCCTCTTCTATGGCGCCCCACAGTGGTGTGTCAATGGAAGTCATTTGTCAGGCTGCTTCATGGGCTTCACCCTGTTCCTTTACTCATTATTATTTACGAGATGTGTCTTCAGGATCCATCACTCGTTCAGTGCTTGGACCTCAGCAGGCTGAGTGAATGCATTATGGCACCACATCAGCCTTACTTGAATGAATTTCATCCTCTTGTGGATGATATTTTTTAGTGGGGGCCTCACTCTTATCTCTGGCTGCGTCAGCCTTTTAAGCCCTGGGCTGAGGCTGAGCGACCCTCACTAAAAGGAGACTTGTTGGGTGTGTCCATTGGTTGAGCTAACCAGTGTGGCGTAAACCCATCCAGCTGCGCATTATTCCAATAGCAGCTCGCTTAAGGGCTAAGACTAGACGAAATAGAACATTGGTTACGTATTGTAACCCCAGATTCTATGAGTCTAGTTGCAGCCCTTAAGCCACTGGCCCCACTGGTTCTGTTAGGACTAAGAGCCATCGGAGGCAAACAGTGGGGTCGTTCCACTTATATAACCCACAAGGGGTGCCCACGTGGTGGGCGTACATTTAAGCTCTTCATGATTGGCTGATGCTGAGATCACCCTTCCAATAGCAGCTCGCTTAAGGGCTGCGACTAGACTCATAGAATCTGGGGTTACAATACGTAACCAACGTTTTTCATCTGATGATATTAGAACATGTCAGTGATGTCTGAGGAGCTTTTACAAACACTGTATAACTAATACTCCTGGAGAGGGTATGAATTACAGAGGCTTCTGGGGAGCCCAGTTATTGGGGTGGGGGGGTGGGGGGTGGGGGTTGGGGTCATTTTGCCTTGGCCCCCAAAATGTCTTGAAACAGCCCTGGGTGTGTGACTGAGTTTTGAAGGTGATCTCAGCTGTATCAGATGTATAAATATGACATGTGTATAACTTATTGCTTTATACAGGTAAAAACGTGTAGTGGAGATAAATCTACCTACATTTTACTTTTTGTTTTGTTTTCTTGTTTTTATTGAACTATTTTCCTGTCCTGTCTGTCTCTCATCTTCCTGCATCTCCTCTAAACTCTCCAGAAAAACTGCTGCCTGGATTCTTACTTTTACTGTAAACCCGAATAAGTTGACTGAACTTAAAATTTTTGAGGTAATCAGTTTCCACAAAAGTTTTAAGTAGACAAACCATATGTTTTAAGTATGGTTGTACTCAAAATTTGTATTTATTGTTAACTTAAAATTTTCAGATAATATTCTATATTTAAATAATTAAGATAAACTTAAAACTTATATATTTTAATTTTAACATTTTTGTGTTACTTGTAGTTAAATTATTTGATGCAACAGAATGTAATTATATTACAACCTAAACTCAAGTAATATGATTATAAACTAATTAAATTACCTTTCTTTTTTAATTGTGTGTGGACCACTCAAAAAAAGTATATGGCGATTCACTTAACATTTTGTTTATTAACATTTTTATGGACTTGTGAAAAACATCACATAAATGTTTTTTTTATAAAACCATCAACATGGAACCACTGACATGGACTGGAGCACAAGTGAGCGTACAAAATGCTGCTAATAACATTTAATAACATTTTTATAAAATCATAAAAGAACATCAGTCCTAAAAGTCATCTTTCTTCTAATATATAAAAATGAAAAACAAAAGGTCAAACACAAAAGAGATTTTTTTAAATAAACAAAAATTAAATAAAATAAATATTTTTTAACAGGTTCAAATAATGTTTATCGGCACCCAAATAACCTTGTATAAAAAAAATGAGGTAAACTGATGGGAATTACATCCACCCAAAGCCTGTAGAAAACTTAAAAGTGCTTTAAATAAAATACTTCAAAGAAGGTGCTCAGTAACAGTGTGCCTGTCCTAACAACCAGTTGCCTTGCATATCTTTCATAACTACTCACTCTGTAACAAATCATTTCTAAGAGCATGAAGGCTGGGTTTCAGTGGTTTGCCATCATCAAGCCCCATGAAGACTTTCTGGACAAAGGTGAATGTGTGAACTAGTTTCCTGGGGTAGTCCAAATGCAGAGCATAGATCAAGCCAAACAATAAGGCATATGCATCAGCAAATCTGGCAATATCACGGATCACCAAGTCGCCTTCCACCACAACAGCCATGCTTGAAGGACTGAAATGGACTGGACTGGTCTCAGCAGAGCCGTCAGCAACCACTGTGAGAAGGGCAACTGGAGTGTCAGTCAGGTTCGTCTCATCCAGCGTGCCCGCCTGGAATAAACACAGTGTCAATAAGTAAGTTTGACTTGAAGGGCCGTGACAAGCATTATTTGTAATCTAGCAAAATATTCTGCAGTCTTGTGGGTAACACGTTAGTGACACATCAAGAGTCCTCTATTTACTATTCTTTTAGAAAATGTGTAAATTAATTAATTAGATTTGTGTGTTTATAGCAACTAGGGTTGGGTATCGAGCGGGAGACGAAGGCGGGCAAAACAGGAAAGGAATCTAGTAGCGGACGGACATTGTTCCGGGTCTTCGGTAATTGGCGGAGATGTTAGTGAAGGTGGAGAAGAGGGCGAACTAGAGGAAAAACAGGCAGATTCCTCCTCTATTTACAAACTCCTGGGGATGCAACAAGTGGGCATGGTGCGTCGACTACTGGATCTGACGTCAACGAATTTTTACAATCAAGCCGTCGACGTCATCAACGCTTTGCTACAAATCTACCAACAGGTATGGTTTTGTTGGTGCGTTAACGCAAAACTGCAGTAAAACATAAGTCGGAGAAACAGGATGCCAACTCATCACATGAAAAAGAGAACATCAAAAAGAATGTGAGAAAGAAACAAAACGAAGACACAGGAGAGCAACAAAACAGGAAGCAGAAAGTTTGTGCCCCTGCCCCGCGAAATAGGAAAATGAGCGCCGACCAGAATTAACGAGTAGCGTTTAGACTACCGCGTTCTTGCTTCAAATTTAAGGAAGTACCTGGCTGATGCAGAGTTGATGAACTTTTCATGGACAAGTGTTTAAAATATAAATATATGAAAACACATCATGACATGAGAATAATACCTGTAAAACAACGTGTTTTAGCTCTGCTTGTCAGCTACAGAAGAACATTTATAAACATAAGACGTACAGTCGCCATCTTAAAAAAACGGGGCGACGGAATTCTGGTGTAATATGCATGTTCACTACAGTGGACGGTACCGCGGTATGCGTGCGTCTTCCATGGTGAAATATCCATCAGAAGAACGCATCACATTTGTCCCTGTCCTCGTCATGAATTAAATAAACGTTAATTTTACCAGGTAAAAACACATTAGCTGTAAACCTGAGGGTTGCTAGTCCGTTTGATTGATAGCTGTAGTTCATCTCCGTCCTCAGTCTCAATCAACGTTATTTGAAAAAAAAAAATAAAGAAATGAGTTGACTTTACATCCTTCTGTTAGTGCAGCTGGCCACGTAGCAAGTTGTTACCATTTTACTGTGAAACCAAGTAAATAAAAGCGATAAAGGGCTACAACGGGCTTGTTTTGACTAGCTTCACCGGAATTTTGACGTGTGTAAACGGTCTTTTTGCCGACCATCATGGAGAACGGGGCAGTCTCGTGCAAAGGGTCAATGGCGAAATCAGGGTTTCTGTGTGTGCACAATCTATTTGGGTTTGCCTCCTCCCACCCCCACTTGTGACACACACACCCTAATTTGAGCCCAGGTTTGATCCCCCCCAACACACAAGTCTAATGCAATGTTTGTTAAAGCAATTGTGAAGCTGCTTTGTAATAAAACCATATAAAATAATCCATGGTATGTTATCTCACTGGTAGAATTTAAGTAATGCAAGAGACACTTACATCACATGTCTTAAAGAATTCTGGGTCTTCCTCCCGCAGGTATACTGGAAGGGCACGTAGCACTGCAGTCCGTTTCACATCGACATCAGGTGCTTCCTATAAAGGGAAAAGAAAATAAGAGTTAATTTAACACTAAGTTTACAGGTGTCATTGCCTGGGGATAATACATGTTTATGACACATTAGGCTCTGCATAATTTTGGAGACATTTCTTTTGAGACACAACCTGTCTCTCATGACAAAGAGCTTGTTTCTTACTCATTTGACAAAAACCCTAAACATTTTTTTTTCAGGGTTATCTAGACTAACACTTTTGTTTTTGCTCCCATTTTTTAGGCCTGTTGGATATACTGCCAAGTTCTCTGAAACGCCTTTAAAGACGGCTTATGGTAGAGAGATGAACATTCCTTTCATGGGCAACAGCTCTGGTAGACATTCCTGCAGTCAGCATGCCAATTGCACGCTCCCTCAAAGGTTGCAACATCTGTGGCATTGTGCTGTTTGATCAAACTGCACATTTTAGGGTGGCCTTTTATTGTGGGCAGTCTAAGGCACACCTGTACATTATTCATGCTGTCTAATCAGCCCCCTGATATGCCACACCTGTGAGGTGGGATGGTTTATCTTGGTAAAGGATAAGTGCTCACTAACACACATGTAGACAGATTTCAGAACAGTATTTGAAAGTCATGGGTGTTTTGTGAATGTGGACCAAGTTTCAGATGTTTGAGTTCAGCTCATGAATAATGGGAGCAAAAACAAAAGTGTTGCATTTATATTTGTCTTTGGTGTATATAGAAAACAGATGTTCCCAGCAATTAACAGTAGCCCATAGGCAGTCTAAAAACAAGCAAAATTGAGTGATTAACATAGAAACTTTTTAAATTTGTGGTAGCAATTTTATCTTTATCAATATTCACCTGGTGATCATAATGATTCAGAAAGTTTCGCAGAGCCTCCGATATCTTGCCAGTGCATGTGGCCTTCTGTCTGTATAGAGCCATAAGTCGTGGTGTGTGTCTGTCAAGTTCAGCATAGAACTGTTTCTGCAGGTTGATGTTTGTGACTCGGTGGAACTCCGCACAAACCTAAAAATACAGGAACATGAAAACATCCAATATAAAGCAAAATTACTGGCCAAATTGAGAAATCTTATATTTAAAGAGGGATTTCCAAATTTGTGCCCAGTTTTATCTTAATGCTGTCATTTTAACATTTGTTTTTCAATTTGAACTTAACCTTTCCAACACAACTGTATCACAAATCTGAAATAAATTTTTTGGCATCATGAGCCTAATGAATGTAAGAAAACTTCTCTTTAATTCAAGAGAACATCAGTTCCTACATTATAGACTCAGCAAGTTTTATCTGTGGTTGCCTGTCTACTTAAAGCCGGGCGTACACTGTGCAACTTTTTCACTTTTTTGAGCTGATTTTCCACTCGTGCGACAATCCACAAGATCGGGGCGAGTTTTGCGCCGAGTGTCGTGTAGTATACAGGGGGTTACGAGAGGCAATTAACACCACATGACCAGCTATCGAGAGCTCGCACAAACTTCTGGCGTGTTTAATATTTTGCTCGTCCCTCGTGAGGGTATCGCACTTTTGAAGCGGCGCTGCGAGCAGCTGCGACGCAAAAAGTATCAGAACCGCTCACGGCGCATACGCAATCCTGCATCAACACCGCTCGCCTGCTATTTCCCTAATAACACACTTTGTTCGTTTTAATTTCTACACGTTTTTTACTCACAAAGATTGTCAAGAAAGAGTGTTTGTCGTGTTCATGTCAAATTAAACTGATCACAAAACACAGATTTACTTTCTTTATTTCATTTTACTCATCCAGCCCCCATAAATCCCTGTGTGTCCTGCAGCACTCCCGAAGGACAACAGGCAAAACAAGACAAAAAAGTCTCACGTGTTGAGTAAAAACTGCTATTTTTAGCATATTTTAGGGCCGACGTGTTGCTACCAGGCGTGCAGTGTGAGCAGTCAGGTCGCATCCAAGAACTGGGTCGTGCAGTGTGAGCACATGACTCGTGAGATCTACCCTGCGAGGAAGTCGTACAGTTTGAGCTGAAGCTGAGTGCTACGAGTGAAAAAGTGGCACAGTGTACGCCCGGCTTAACTCATTCACTGTCATTGATGACTAAAGTCGTCATTTTAGATCCCACCGTTCACTGCCAATGAAGACTTAAGTCGCCATTTGAATGTTTTTACTGTGTGGGCATTGGAATGAGCCCCCGCATCGTGACTGAACCTCTCACCTCTAAAGCCGATCTTCATCCGCATATATCACACATGACGTGATCAGGAAGTAGAAAATCCATGTGTTAGATCGTTTTGGGTGGCTGCTGTAAAAAAAAAGTGAGGTGCGAACCGGAAAAGCTTCTGCCGATCACAATTCAACAACGGATTATGAAAGAACGGATAATGCTCGAAATGCGCAGATTCTTCATGATTTAAGGTGAGTCTCCACTTTGTTTTGGTTGTTTTGGCGTCAACATCCTAGCACACAACGTTCTGTGACTCTTAAAAAAAACTATAAAATTGGTGAGAAACATTGGCAGCGAAAGGGATTTACCGATCAGGAAACGGCTGGCAGCGAATGAGTTAATGTTGAAGCACCACAACTAATAGGGTGCTTAGTTGTAGCGCTTTAAGATATTTTTTCTACCTATTTGAACAATGTTTATAAGAAGTACTTTGTTTAACATGTTAAATAAATAAATCTGAATCTGAAGATCTGCTGAACTTGCATTGTTTCAAGTTAAATTGAATAAGAAAAAAAAAAATCAGTGCAACACCAACCTGTGAGTGAAATCGCAGAGCTGGCCATTTCTCTAAGAAGTCCTTCACCATTGGGTTTTCTTGAACGATCTCATGGCGACGCAGTGCAAAGGTTGTTTGCATCAGTTTTTCAATCATTACTTTGTTGGGCTCGGTCTTCTCAACCTCATTTTTTATCTGGACTCTCAATTCCTCCAGACTGGCCTTATCTTCTCCTCTTGGAAAGTTTGGGAGGTAGTTTACCTCAGCTTTTCGTGCTCTTTTTATGTTGGAGTGGGGATACTCTCCTTCTGGGTTGTTGATACTCCTTCTACCAGCATTCACGGACACCTCCGCGCATCCGGCTCTGGCTAGCTTGGTGCGGTAACTTCCCATCTTAAATTTTAAACTGGTCTTCCAACCATAACTTCCAGGCTCATTAAGACATGGATGAGTGGTAACAAGAGCTTCTCTCGTAGGCTTTATTTCCCTTCTCAAGGACATGTTCGACTTCGTAAGAAAAGGTAGGTACTGGGAAAGTGTCAGGCCAACACTTCAGATGCTGAGCTAAAGGCACATGAGGAAGGATGTCTGTGTCAGAACTTGCACAAGAACTGGCATCACTTTTGGATCGCACTATTTTTAATGTGCTCTTCTCTAGTAGCTCTTGAATATCATGTAGACAGGTAAGTTGCCCATCAAAGTCAGGGTCTTCGTATTGTAAGGTAAACTCAAAGTCCAGCCTTGGGTTGAGCTTCTCCCGGAGTATGGTGATTAGTTCTTCCACTGACTCAGGCCGCTTAGTTAGAGAAACCTTCACAACAACATCTGTAGTGCTGTAAACTCTCAGCAGGAATTTCTGAGATGCTGCCATCATCCTGTGTATAAAGCAAGGAATGGAGATGATTAAAAAATACTACAATGGTCTCAACACATATAAAAACAATGAACATCATACCATTGACCTTTTTTTATGTGTCCTTTTATGGCAGAGTGGTACTCAGAATTGGCATCTGAGTACCAAGCAATAGCCCAAAAGATTTACTGTCACAAGTGGAGCAGTACCTCTTGTGGTAATGCATACACATAGCCTTTACAAGGTCTGATAATTGTATACTCAGCAATCATTACAGCTGTCAAAAATGGGGGGTCAAATATACTATAGTCTTGTTTTCCAATTTTAATTTAAAAAGTACACTGTAAATTTCATAACAAAATAAACTTACTATTTATGCTGGTTACTTTGGGTGCATTCTAGCATTTTATGGCCAATCTTTCAACAGTCCAGAACAAAGGTAAGTATTTTACATGTTACATAGTCACAGGCCATCATTTCATTTAGTCACGGTAAAAACTAACCCTATTTCAACATCATAATCTACATTTTCTCACCAGGCATACAAACAATACATAAGAATTTACACAGCAATTATTTTACAAAACAGAGACAAACTGCAGGAGAAATATTTGGAAAAACACATCATGTGATATTAAATCAGTGAGATACATCTAAAAGGAAACAGAACTTCTAGTAGCAAACTACTTTTTACAGACTACTGTCTAATGTTGCTCTCTTACCCACCCCCCCCCCCCCCACCCCCCCCACACACACACACACACACACATAGCATCTGCATTTTGAAACTTTGGGGTGGAACAAATCTTAAAATATATGTAAATCACATAATGCAAATTCACTTTCAGTGTAGAAGTATAAAACGTTTTGGTGTCAAAAGAAGTTTCCCTTCCACGTAGTATGCAGAAAGGGGTAAGCGGTCATTAAACTCTGACATGCAGTGGATAGCCATACAACTTGGGTAGAGTTCATATGACCTCATATGTTCAGTGTAGTTTGACCTGTGTTCTTTGCAAAGAAATGCAGCATCATTGTTAACAAGGAGGATTTTTTTGATCTCGCTAAACTGTGGCAGTCCCCCATCCTCCCCCACAGACACAAACATTCCAGGGCTGTAAGTTGTGCCATCAACAATGATCTTTGATGTGCTGTAAATAATTCTGCTGTCAGTTTTAACCTTTATGTATTCTTGTGCAACTTCAGGAAGATCTGAAACCATGACAGAAGTAACGTGTGTCGTCTGCTGATGCGGCTGAAAAAATGAAGGTGCACTGAGGTAGTAGGCCACCATGTGTTGGTGCCGTGTTGCTAATGTTTTTAACACATTCTTAAACTTTTGTGTGTCATGTATTACCCTCTTGAAAAAGCGATGCTTAACCTCGAACCTCATTGTCCATAAGTGAACAAGTGGCCCAAAAGCACGTATAAGAGCTGGGTAGTGCTCTATATAATGATGTTTTGGAAGCAGTCTTAACTCAGGAAACATGTCCTGCAGCACTTTTCTGTGGTCATCTATCTTTGATTGCAAATACTGTATGGACTCTTCATCAAATCTTGGGCGCAGCATAAGCTCAACAACCTCTTTCAAATCCATTAACACTGTCCAAGCAGCATCTTCCTCAGGGACTACATTACCGTTCATGAATGGCAGTACTCTCAGCAATGTGATATTCTCATGACCATTGCCACCAATGGTCCTCTTTGTAGAGAAGTTCTTTGAGATGGGCTTTGGTTTGTCAACTTTATCGGAGTGTTGGTAAGGAAAGGACAAGATTTTTCTATTCAACTGCTCCAGAGTAAAGTATTTCTGCCGGACCATCTCCTGAATACACATGGCCAACTCCACTGGTACAATTCCCTCAAAAAGGTCATGGAGGACATCAGGAGGGAAGCCTGTGGTTGTATGAAAATACTGCAAACTTTCAGTCAGGATGCAGTTCCGTTGCCTACCTGCCTGACTATGACCATCCCCATGTAGAACTTCCTGCACATTTTGGTCATAACTGGCTTTTGTTCTGAGGCTAAACTTGCCATCTCCAACATCATGAGACTGAATTAGGTCTCGTGTTGCATTGCAAAACCTACAAATAAATCCAGTTCTGAAACACTGACTAAACCCAGCCAATGAGTGGGCTGCCAGGTTGTCAGCTACAACGCACATGATAGTCCCTTTAACAGATTTACCGAGGCACTCAATAAATACACCATCTTGCTCAAGAGTTTTTAGATCTTGTAGCAAAGGACCAAATGCTTTTTCATAGCCACACCTGTGGAGATCAGGTACCTTACATAATGCTGCTAGCTGAATGACATGCAGACCTGAACGATATTTACTTGGCAAATCAGCAAACATCCAGCATACTGCACACAGTTTGTGTATTTTCCTTGAAGTGCCCAATGGATTGGCAATTTCAAGGTCATCAATGTACAGTATCAGTGGCAGTGAAAGCTCTGATGAAGAAAACAACTAATTTCCTTGGAAATATGACCCATCTCTGTGGCTTGTGTAAAGACCCTCATAAGAGATATGTGTTTCCATAATTCTGTTAAGAATGTCTGTATGTTGGAACATTTTTTGGATCATCTCAAGTATAGGGACATGAATTGCTGTACAACCAGGCTCCAATACATACTGAACAAGCATTACCACAGGGCAGTTCTTTTCAATAAACGTTTTTCTATGTTTATTTGAACAAAAGTCCTCCCCTTTAGCTGTGGCACAAGCAAAAATATTTGCATTATTTACAGCATTCAGCAAATCATTAAGGATAGCCTTGGAAGGAGTAACCTGATGCCTTTGTAATACATCATGCAGAGTCTTTTTAATGAGAGGCTTTGACAATGAAATGATTTGTGCCAGAGTATCAACTATTTCCTGAGATGCCATTTGAGAAACATGAAGAATACTTTCCATCTTCAGGAACAATGAAGACAAGTTCTTGTGTAACTGCTCTCTTAACTGCCTGGTATCACAAACACTGTCTACCTCAGGAAAAGCCAAGTCATCCAAATGCTCATCATTAACATCCTCAATGGCAAAGTCACTAGTGCTTTCCACTGGCCTGCTGTTTTCGTTTGACACAAGGACATCACAAATATGGGGTGCCATTTGTAAAGTCAAACAGTCATAATCTAACAGCAATATTTTTGGTTATTTAGCATATCATTAATTCACTAACTAAATATTTAATTTACTAATTAAATATTTATTTTGGAACTAAATATTTAATTTGTAAATTAAATATTTATTTTCCGAAATAAATATTTAGATCCCAGCTAAATATTTATTTTGGAGCTAAACATTTAGTTTGCAAAATCAGTATTTGGGAAATAAATATTTAAGTCTGACCCAAAAATATAAACTATAGTGTGGAGCTAAATAACATCATGGAAAATAAATATTTAGCTGGGATCTAAAAATTTCTTTGGAAAATATTTAATTTACAAATTAAATATTTAATTTAAATTTTAAATATTTATTTCCAAAATAAATATTTAATTAGTAAATTAAATATTTAGTTAGTGAATTAAATATTTATTTTACAAACTAAGTATTTAGATCAGACCTAAATATTTAGTTTGCAACATAAATATTTAACTATAAATTAAATATTTAGCGTGCTAACTAAATATTTATTTGGAAACTTTAACATTTATAAATGTATGAATAACATGGTGAAAATATGACTTTGAAAAAGTGAACTCTCAATTTTTTCTCTTATGATATGCTAAATAACAAAAAAAATTGCTGTTAGATTATGACTGTTTGACTTTACAAATGGCACCCAATAGAAAAACACTATAGTTTGAAATGAAGTAAGAATGTAAAAAACAAAAATAACATTTCTTCCCGCTTTGCTGATTTATTGAATCCTTTTTGTGGGTTTTTTGCTCATGAAAGTTAAGTTATGCTTCACTAGTGACTAACTGCAGTAAATGATGCTTTGCTGCAATTATTGTTAACAATATTAAAGTTAGACGTAATTACCACTTTTATCTGAAGAAGCGCGTCTTTATCCCCGCTCCAGCTGCTGAGATCAAAGTTGACAGAAACGGGGATCCGTGCCTGCAACCCGAGCAATTAATCCGCGTATTTCCAGCAGAACACGTTTGCCGAAAGATTTGTGCGATAATCACACTTTCATTTTCCTCATACTCGACTCACGTGACCAGGCGCAAATGTTCACGTAACCAACGCAATTGTGTCATGAATATGCAAATTAGAACGTTGCGACCTCTAGTAACCTCTGAGCAAGCGTCAGCAAGGCAGATCAGAACGCTTCATAGAAGCACGTGATCATAAGCTTTGATACGTCATACAGAGAACATCATTTCTTACTACAAGTCATTGTTGGTCAGAGCACTCGACGCGATTTTAAAATGCAATACGATATAGAAGAATACAACTGGGAGTTGAAAAACAAAATAAGCCAAACTGAGAGAGAAATTCAGAAAGTGAAAGATGAAATTTCAGCATTTAGAGAAAAATCTGCTTTTGAGTATAAAATACGAGAAGCCAAACATGCAGAAAATATGCAACAGAGAGGCTTGAAACATGATGCAGAAATGAAAATCCTCCATCAAAAGATTTCTACTCTAAATAAACTCGTTTTAGAGAATGACAGTCGAATAGCAGCGCTCAGAAAGGAAAATGACAACCTGAGCGTTTACAGAAAATTAAAAGAAAAACGCGATTTTGACACAAAAAAGATTGAGCGACCTCCGAACAGACCTGAGACTAATAGAGAAAGGAAGATCAGCCAGTTACATAAAATGAGTCAGCTAGCTTTGAAGGACGCCTCAACACAAAGTAATGATGGGAAACAGGCTGCATTGGGAAAAGATAATGCTAGATATAATATTTTAATTCAAGAAAAGATGCGTTTTTGTGAAAACATGACAGGGGAACTAAAGAAAACAGATGAGAAATTATTAAAGGTAGATGAAAAAATGGCTGCACTCAGGCACATCAGAAGGCTGCAGTAAAGTGAAGATGATTTGAAACAAGAAAGGGAAGAAGCTTTTGTGTTAAGATCTTTTAATCCAGAGACGAGAAGAATAATGAATTTATTTCCCAGGGAGGTACCGATCTCTCAACCAAAAGAGGCTGATGTAAAGAAAAAAGTTAGAGATCCAATGAGTTGGTTACGGGAATAAGAGGGTTAATCCCACAGTGGGGGTGTCATTTTTAAACACAGATGAGGGGAAAGTGTCGAAGGGGCATGCTAGCTCAGGCAAATAAACACGAGCTAAACTTTCTAGGGTCATGGGTCGGGTTGGGGTTGGGAGAGATAAGGCTGAAAGAGAGATGCTAGATCTTACCTTACTGACTTTGTCTCTGCGACACCAGGTTGGAGTAATAGACAACCCTCGCATCTCTGACTACAGAGTTAACGGATGTCAGAAGGTGGACGGGGAGACGTGTTTTCATACACAGGCTGCAAATGCTGTAATTGAGCCTGGGAGTTTACTGCAGGAACTGATCTGGTTCTGAAAGGACAGATGTTGTCCAGAGTGGAGAGGCAATACTCGTTAACCTGAGAGGTTAATGATGATAAAAGATAAATGACCCGCTCTTTCTAACACCAGCTGAAAGCTCATTCACGCAAGAGTCTGCCTCTCAGGGGCCACGCCCACAGGGCCAGCCTTTCTGGATGTGGGTGGTGTGTCTCCCCATGAGCCTGGGACAACAGGTCCTTGCAAAGCGGCAGTTGCCATGGGGAACCTCACGGGAGTTGGGAGATTTCCACCAATCAAATTTTCCCCGGCCACCGTGGGATAGTTAGCATGGCTAGTTAGTTAGTTAGTTAGTTAGTTAGTTAGTCACTTAGTCAGTCAGTTAGTCACTTAGTCAGTTAGTTAGTTAGTTAGTTAGTTAGTTAGTTAGTTAGTTAGTTAGTTAGTTAGTTAGTTAGTTAGTTAGTTAGTTAGTAATGTGGCTCAAAAAGCTGAGTGCACCCCCACAAATGTCATCAAAATGACTGACTCAGACAATATCAGCCTCAACCCAAGATGTAGTTAGCTAGTATCTCAGTTAGTTAGTTAGTTAGTTAGTTAGTTAGTTAGTTAGTTAGTTAGTTAGTTAGTTAGTTAGTTAGTTAGTAATGTCATTCAAACAGCAGCATGCATCCCCACAAATGTTCCATCAAAATGGCCGGCTCAGCCAACATCAGCCTCAACCCAAGTTAGTGGGATGTGTATCTCCCCATGAGCCTGGGACAACAGGTCCCTGAGGAGCAGCAGTTGCCATGGGGAACCTCACAGGAGTTGGGAGATCTTCACCAACCAATGTTTCCCCGGCCACCGTGGTGCTATTAGGATCATGGACAGGCCCTGCTCCCTCACCCTGGGTAAAGTGGGGGGTATGGGGGCCTCTGGAGGGAACGCATGAAGGAGAGACCTTGGCCACTTGTGCGCAAGAGCAAACCCCCCCCACCCCCCACCCCCACCCCCCCCCACCACCACCCCCCCGGGGCGCCACGATCCTGCAGGGAGAATTTAAGTGGGCACTGAGAATTCTCTGTTGATGCAAACACATCCACGACTGCCTGACCGAACCTCATCCAGACCTGATTCACCACTTAAGGATGAAGCCTCCAATCTGCGTAGATTGGATTGCCTCTGGATAGCAGATCAGCTCCGTAATTCAGAATTCCTGGTATATGAGTCGCTCTCAGGGACTGCAGGTTCAAACTGCTCCAAATGATCAGTTTATGTGATCATGTGTAAACAGGGGGACCTCAGACCTCCCTATCTGTTGACACATTTTTAACACAGTGGGGAAATTCACTAGTTACAGGTGTCTTTAGCAACAGGATAAAAACACTTTATGAATTATTTAGTTGGATTAAATCCTTGGGAAATGAGTAATAAGCTGTTTTAGGAAGGTGGAGAGTAACGGGTTACGGCACTGTGTGAAACTTGGGGGGTGGGGTGGGGTGGGGGTGGGGGGGGGGGGGCTCCTAAGGCATCTGTTCCTCATGACCTGATGGGAATCAGCCTGTACAGACTTTCCCTCCTGATGCTTTCCAACAGCTGCTTTCCTTCATCACTTTAACAGTCAGTGAGTCACTATGATTTTCCTATATTTCACTCACATTTATGGTGGTGGCAATGTTTATGAAACTTCAGATCTGCTGTATTTGATTTCACTTTTGCATCAACAAGAGTTCAGCAGTACTAACAGCAGTCGTGTGAGCACGGGAATAACACAACAGTCTTGTGTTTCGGTTTATCGTCTGTGAAATATTCACCTGAAATGATAAAATATATACAGCTACTTACAGATAAATAATTAGGTGCATTTCCTGTGCCCTCAGTGACATTAGGCCCAAGGTGAGATTATTATTAGCATAGCGATTAGAAAATAGAGCCAAAGGAACTGTTTTAACATCAGCACGCCACACCAAGCACTACAGCTTTGTCTGCTGTCTGTACAAATTATTACATTTACCTATTTATTGAATCTGAATTATGACTTCAGTTCAAACCAATATAGGGTCTTGAAATGTATTTTCACTGAGTTACTTTTAGCTACTCAAAACACAAACCTAGAGTTATTAGGCTACTTAATAACAACGCTTCATGATTCTTTGAAATTCTTCTACACTTCTTGTCACGTTTAGGAGCAGGAGGTTAGGACCCAAGATGCAGACCCAGGATGACACGAGGCAGGAATGTTAAATAAAGAAGAATCCTTTATTTAGGATGACAAAATAAAAATCCAAAAGGGGCAGGAGGCAAAAAACCCAATAACAAAATGAAGCAGGGAAAAATCCAAAAGCTCACTTCATGAGCAGAGAACCAGAGACCAGGAGGGAGAGACAACAAACAACGCTGACATAAAACAACAATGGACCGACAAGAACAATGAGACAAGGAGGGCTTATTTAGACAGGGAGGAGCAATTAGGGAAACAGGAAGCAGGTGTATGGAGTGAGGCTGGAGGAAGGCAGGTGACAACAATTATCTGGATGGGGAAGAGAACCAGAGGAGGGCAGATGAACCTAACACTATATAAAACACAAAACTAAACCTAAAGACTAAGGGAAGGACTCACACAAACACATACACATACTGACACTCACAAACTCATACACATACAAGAGGCTGTGGCTACAACTTAAGACACACAACAGAGATGCAGACAAAGGACACATGAGGGCGCTAAGAGAACACAAAAGGAGAACCTGGAGTAGGAACTGGAGGAGCTGGGGAACAAAGGGACACAGAACATGACACTTCTATCTCTAATAACCTAGTGAATAACTTCCCTCAGTCCGTTTCTAATTATTCAATCAACTTGCAAAAGCAAAACTTCATGAAGTTATTTAATTTTTTATCTTATTGTTAAAAATCAAATGTTATTGTCCTAAAAATCTTGTCATCTTTCGACTGTAGCATTAAATATTCTTAATAACTAGAAATGTAACATCTATAAAGCATCAAATCAAATAAATCTGACAAATAAGGGAAAAATGTCTGTGTTTATGTCCCCATCTTCACAGATTTAACAATTAGTCTTAGATACATTCAATTGTGGTGAACTGTTTATTTGCGTTTTATACAAACAATTGTCTGACATGTAAAATAGTAACATTTAAAGTTTGGATGTAAGAGGTGAAAATAAAGATTTTAAAAGTTCCAAATCTCCCAGTTGCCCCTCCACCTTCTACAGGTAAAAATTACATCTAGTTATACATTTATAAGTTGGATTTGACTGAAGATTTGTGTTTTTTTATCTGAGATTATTGTTTTTATACTTTTATTAACTGATTCAATTATGTCCTCCCACTAAAACTGACACAACCATTTCTTCAGGTCAAACACCTCCAGATCTTTTTCTGAAGACAGTAGGATAAAGACCAGCGCTGACCACTGAGCAGGAGACAGTGTCTGTAGAGAGACGTCCTGAACTCAGAGACTGTTGGATCTCCTCCACCAGACAAAGATGATTCAGTTCATTCAGACAGTAGAGCAGGTTGATGCTTGTCTCCACAGACAGACTCTCATTGAGCTTCTTGTTGATGTGATCAACTGTTTCCTGATTGGATCTGCTTCCTGTCTTCCCCAGCAGGTCTTTTAGGAGAGTCTGATTGGCCGGCCGGGACAGACCAAGGAGAAAGCGTCCAGGTGTCCATTTGGACTCTCAAAGGCCTTGTTCACAGCACTCTGATAGAGATCATTTAGATTTGGACCGCTGAAAAGTTTAGACCACAGAGAATGTTGCTGTTTGTCTTCCATTAGATTGACACCAGAGCTGATGAAGGTCATATCGACATGCAGAGCAGCCAGAAACTCCTGAACACTCAGGTGGATGAAGCAGAAGACCTTTACCTGGTACAGTCCTGTCTCTTCTACAAAGATCTGTGTGAACACTCCTGAGTACACTGAGGCTGCTCTGATATCGATGCCACACTCTGTCAGGTCTGATTCGTAGAAGATCGGGTTTCCTTTCTGCAGCTGATCAAAAGCCAGTTTTCCCAGAGACTCAATCATCTTCCTGCTCTCTGGACTCCAATGTGGATCTGCCTCAGCTCCTCCATCATACTTGACCTTCACTTTGGCCTGAACAACCAGGAAGTGAATGTACATCTGAGTCAGGGTCTTGGGCAGCTTTCCCCCATCTTTGTTTTTAAACACCTTCTCCAGAACTGTAGCAGTGATCCAGCAGAAGACTGGGATGTGACACATGATGTGAAGGCTTCGTGATGTCTTGATGTGGAGGATAATCCTGATGGCCTGCTCCGCATCTCTGAATCTCTTCCTGAAGTACTCCTCCTTCTGTGGGTCAGTGAACCCTCTGACCTCTGTTACAATGCCAACACACTCAGAGGGGATCTGATTGGCTGCTGCGGGTCTTGTGGTTATCCAGAGGCGAGCAGAAGGAAGCAGGTTCCCCCTGATGAGGTCTGTCAGTAGAACTTCCAATGAGGAGGACTCTGTGACATCAGTCAGGATCTTACTGTGGTGGAAGTCCAGAGGAAGTCGACACTCATCCAGACCATCTGAGATGAACACGACCTGGAACTCTTCAAAGCTCCTGTTATTTTTGGTTTCAGTGAAGAAGTGATGAACAAGTTCCACCAAACTAAACTTCTTTTCTTTTAGCACTTTCAGTTCTCTGAAGGAGAACGGAAACATGAAGTGGATGTTCTGGTAGGCGTTGTCTTCAGCCCGGTCCAGAGTGAACTTCTGAGTTAAGACCGTTTTGCCAATACTAGCCACTCCCTTTGAGATCACTGTTCTAACAAGTTCGTCTCTCCCAGGTGGGAGTTTGAAGAGGTCTCGTCTGATTGTCGTTTCTAGTTTTTTTAGTTTCCTGGACGCCACTTCAATCTCTCTGATCTCATGTTCATTGTTGACCTCTCCAGTCCCTCCCTCTGTGATGTAGAGCTCAGTGTAGATCTCATTCAGATGTGTTGGGTTTCCTGCTTTAGCAATCCCCTCAAACACACACTGGAACCTCTTCTTCAGGCCAGATTTAAGTTTACGTTGACTAAATGCAACACAACATAAAGTATGTCAGGGTGTATTTTATGTAAGTACACGGGAAACTTGATACTTCTGCAAATAACTTGTTTGATTAATCTTTGTACCTGTTTGCAGATGGTCAGCCAGCTGGTCCTGCTTCATTCTTTTGAGGAAGTGTTATGGGAAACTTTATGTTAATTAATTCTTGATCATGGACTCAATCAACTGAATGTAAATGTATTGTTCTATGTCTCTTTGCATGACACACACACACACACACACACACACACACACACACACACACACACACACACACACACACACACACACACACACACACACACACACACACAATCTCTCTCTCTCTCTCTCTTTTATCTCTTGGTATAAATAAACTCTGTGACCTGTTGTTTGGGGCATTTTGCCACAGTTATAACTGTTTGACGTGTCTGCTCATTGTCTCCTTCTCTCTTCACTATAGGAAATGGGTTATTGATAAACATATTGATAAAATCCATGACATTTTTTGGTCATTCAAAAGCCATAGTAAATCATCTTTACTTCCAGGTTTCCCCCTTTACCATTACCTAAAACTAAAAAACTCAAATGAAGAGAACAGTCATTGTCCAGATGGTCTAATCTATTTTTACTTTCTTTATAAAGCTCCATGGCAGCCATGACACCTAATAAAAACATGATTTCTCATGTACTTTACTGGTCTTTGTAAAACGTCATTCTCCTATAAAATGAAAACAATTGTAAAACATGAGTTTTTTTAAGTATAAACTATTTTAAAAATCATGATTTATATGATTATTTTGGGATTTATCATTACTTTTTGTTGATCTTTACAATTAGTCGACTGTATTGTATGTTTCTGAGTTTGTCAGGTGTGTGTGTGTGTGTGTGTGTGTGTGTGTGTGTGTGTGTGTGTGTGT